CGATCAATGACAAAAGGCGGGTGATTTTCAATTTTGAATCTTAAAAGTTTTTGTATGTTTCTAAAAATTCTCTCATTCGCTCTCTTCTCCAAGTTACAAGATGAAGAATAATAAAATTGGCCTCTCAAATTAGGTTAAAATTGTGTACAAATTAATTTTCATGAAGAGATTGAATTAAATATGGAAATGGCACTTCTATTTTAGGAATACACCATGCCATTGCACAGCAGAAATAGTTGCAATCACATGGTTGCCTCTATGCATCGGCAAGAACTGAAGTTTCCTTCCTTGCGATTGGGTGTAACCTTGCGATCGTAAGGCTCATAGTTTTTTTCAAAAAAGATCAATATACATACAAAATAGGTTTGACTTCAATAAAAGCACTCACGTCTCACGTAAATTTGTCCAATAACAAGAGAAAGAATCAATAACAAAATAACGTTCAATTGTAATGAAGTTTTAGGCATATTCATTGCACCAGCCACATACTACTTGACACTAATTTCGTGCTTAAAAGGTCAAAGAATGGATTCATTTACAAATAATGTCTGAAAATAATTGAAGTTATAAGCATTGTAATATTGCCTGCCACTCCATTTACATTCAATTAACAAATAGGAACTTGCATATGATGGGCTATATGTTTAATTAATTTCTTGAAGCGAATTTTAAGCAATGTACACTGAAATTATTTACCCATGAAGAAAAATACGTAACTAAGTTATGGCTGACAAAATACCACGTGTCCTAAGTTCGAGATTGATAAAGTCCTACAAATATGACTTAACAAATAATTAAAAGTCGTGATGTTCCTTCAAGCAGCCGATCAATAACTCGTGATTTTGTCACATTACTTGCAATAATTAACAATGAACAGAGAGCCATGCTGGTGGTACATCGGAGTGTATATCACGGTATACATCCCCCTCACATGGGTAAGGGACCCACTCGAATATTTTATTCAAATGAGCCCCTCCATGTGAGGTAGACCTTGATGTACACTTTTTGATGTATATCTAGCATTTTTCATAAACAGATGACCACGTGAAAGACTGAAAGTGGACCTTTCTTCTAATCGATTTTGCTACATCTGCACTTAGTTTGACATCATGGATGACATTCTCTGACAAAAAGATATAAATATCATTCTTCTTATTCTTTAGTCAAATCAAGGTTTTCTATTCCTGATATAGGCTAATTTTGATATATTTCTCCTAATAAATA